AACCCCCAATAAAATGATTTTAAACAAAAGAAAGAAAATACAATTATATTTATTTTATCAAGAAGGCATTGCATGGGGTAGGAGAGGAAGGAAGGTGAAGTTGCTCACTAGAAGGTGCCATGTGCTAACTTAGGTATATGGGAAGGGGATACATAACAAGAGGGAGATTGGCCAAAAAACAAAAAATGATGGAGACAGGGGAAGACCCAGGGAGGAGTGCAAGAGTGAAAGCCCACAGAGGTAAATGCCCTTATATGCACAAGTCTGCAGTAATGATGATCTACAAGTATATCTGTGGATAGACAGGCTGAAGAGGTGTGGGAGGGAGAGCAGGAACATACTAACAAATATATATTGGTTTTGGACAGATACTCTTTGTACATGTTTATTTACCTTTGCTGTAAGTATACCATGAATGTGATGGAGTCTATAGGGGGCAGAGCTATGAAAATTTCTTAGACCTAACCAAACACATTGAGGGTTCAGGGGCTCAGGACTGTAGTCTCAGTAAAGCAAAAGTCAATCGACATAGTCCACAAAAACAACGTTTTATGCCTTACTTTGATGAGAAGGGTCTGGCATCTTAGAAACCTGTGAATGACCATCTCAGATTCAAATGCTGGTTTCTCCTTGTCTGGAGAAAAGAAGAGCGATGATAATCGAAGACATGTGGAGACAGTTAGTGGCCTAATGGACCATGCAAACATCAGTCTCTATGGCCCCGAGACGAGAACTAGATGGAACCTGGCTGCTTCTACTAATTGATCTGAAAGAAATCACATTAGGAAACCCTGAATGGAAGGGGAGGAAAGGGTAAAACAAAACAAAAAAATAATAAAAGAGACCAGGTTGTTGGTCAGAGACTAGTGTGACCTTTGAAACAATGACCCTTGGTTATCCTTTATTTAAGTCTGGAACTGAACTTGATGTCTCAATTTTCAAACAAACAATAGATGGGAACAGTAACACTAGTGAGTATTCAGCCTTTGAATAATAAACCATGTGAGATCTGAGGTCCAGGAGGTGGCATTTGCCTAAGGTGAAAGTTCAGAAAGGTGAGAAGCGGAGGAGTGGGAAGCAGGGAACACTGGGGGATGAGTGGTGGTGTGTTGAGGGGATTGCAACTAATGAGATGAAACAAAACTATGAATTCTTGAATGCAAAATTGATGATTTACTCTGTAAAACCTTCATTCAATATAATCAAAAGTTGTTGTTTTTCTTTGAAAGAAGAGCCTTACTTGATAATATCTCTTTTCTTCTTTCTTTTGCAGAATATGTATGTAACTGCTCTAGGGTCGGAAGCCTCGATGCAAATCGCTGCAATCAGACCACGGGGCAGTGTGAATGTCAACCAGGTTATCAGGGGCTTCGCTGTGAAACCTGCAAGGAGGGCTTTCACATGAACCACACTCGGCACGCTGGGCTGTGTCTGCCATGTGGCTGCAGTCTGGATGGAGCCCTCGGCATACTTTGCGATAGGTAAGCAGCAGAGTGGAAATGAAGATATTTTTATTTTAGGGGAAAAAACGTTCTTGTTCTCAAGGTTCAGACTAATTTAAATAAAGAAACCAACCCCAAACCCAACTTAATGCCATTGAGTCTATTCGAATTCACAACCACCCTATAGGACAGAGTAGAACTGCCCCTGGGTTTTTTGAGGCTTTCAACCTTTGTGGGAGCAGAAAGCTGGTGGATTTCAACCGCTGATTTTGCTGTTAGCACTAGATCACGTAACCCACGTATTTTCCTCAGCATAATGTCAAGTCCCCTCCACACTGTAACATATATCAAGATTTCATTTTCTCCTTCTGGCTAAGTAGTACGCCATTATTGTCTATACCACATTTTGTTTATGCATTCCTTTGTTGATGGCCACTTAGGTGTATTAGTGGTTACCAGGGGCAGGGTCACTAGGGACCCTCAATGAGATGTATTGATACAGTGGCTACAACAATGATCTGAAGCAGAACAATTGTGAGGATGACGCAAGACTGGCCAGGGTTTCCATCTGTTGTACGTAGACTCAGAATGAGTCAGCATGAATCAGTAGCACGTAGCAATAACAAATGGGCTGGAGGGAGGAGGAGAAAAAGGCATCAATAGCAATGGAAGAATCACACTGATTAAGGGAAGGGTTGCACCGCTGACTTTGTAATTATTGTCAACAGTTGAACACCTGTAAAAAGTTGACTAGGCAAAAGTGAGATAGCTAGATTTATAACAATCACAAAAAACCAAGCAAGATGATGTATGTGCAAATTTTTGTAAGTTATACTTGCTAGACAGATAAATAAAAATGCTAATAGGACCATACTTGAGCATTTGTTATATGCTAGAGCACTGTGCTGACTGATTTCATATGTACCATCTCATGTAATCTTTACAAAAACATACTTTAGGAGAGGAGAACTATTCTTTTCTCACTTTGAATATGAGAATGGTGGTGCTTATAGCGTATGGTTAACTTACCCAAGTATAGATAGTAAAGCTGTTATTCAATCCAGGTGAACACATGTAATATGCAAGCAGAGTCCACAATGACACCCCCCGTCCCCATTGGTACTTAACACATAAATATCCTAGAATGCATCTCTCAATTCCATGTATTTTGAATGACGACTATATAAGAAACCTTTCTACTTATGTCCCAGAGACTCAATAAAGCCATATACAACATTAAACAAACTAATGTGTGGGAAACCTTGTATTACATTCCTAATAGAGTTGGTAGAGTGTCAGCATCACATGTAGACAATTTAAAAAGCACATCAAATGTTGGCAAAAAGTATGTGCAGTATGTTACTGCATACAAAACAGCTGTACACCAAAGTAATAGATTTTATCAGGAAGTTTTTTTTTTTACTTAATATCACAGTAGTTTCCACTTAAATATAGGGGCTTAACTGTGTTTTAGTTATACTTTGGGAAACTGGTTAGTAGGTTTAGGTTGACATGTAATTATTTATAATTTTTCTTATTTAAAATATTAGATTGTTTGCTAGCATTTCACTTAGGATATCTGATTTTCAGTAATTGGTGCTAATATTAAGCAGAAGGTTGGAAGTTAAATATATTATTATTATTGTATTAAATATAATATTATTATATATTAGACTATATATGTACTCAGTAGATTCTATTATCCTCGGTAGGTTTTTAAAAATGAGGTAACATGATTGTATATTATATACATAATAGCATGAAAGGCATGTATCAAGGTTTTATCCTTTCACCATTTGCATCTGCAAATAATCTGAGAAGCTGGATATATGAAGAAAAATGAATAATCATTTTTGGGAAAGCCTCATTAACAGCTTGTAATAGGCAAATGATACAAGCTTGCTTACTGAAAATATAAAGTATTTGAAGCACCAACAGATGAGGATCAGACTATAGCCTTCAATATGGATTATACTTTAACATAAAACCCAAATCCTTATACCTGGATCAATAAGCAACATCATGATAAACTGAGAAAATATTGAAGTTGTCGAGGATTTTAATTTACTTGGATCCACATCAGCTCTAATGGAAGCAGCAGCCAGGAAATCAAATAATTTATTTCATTGGGCAAATCTTTGGCAAAAGAGCCATGTAAAGTGTTAAGAAGCAAAGCTGTTACTTTGAAGACTTTGAAGACATGGCTGACTCAAATGAGGTACTGTGGTACTATCAGTTGCGTCATAGATATACAAAAGCTGGACAATGAATAAGACTGAAGAAGAACTGAAGCCGTTAAATTGTGGTGTTGGTGAAGATTTCTAAATATACCATTGGTTGTCAGAATGAACAAATTTGTGTTAGGAGAAGTACAACCAGAATTTTACTTGGAAATGGGCATGGGAAGACTTTGTCTTAACTTACTTTGGACATGTGATCAGGAGGGACCAATCCCTGGAAAATGACACCGTACTTGTAAAGTAGTGGGTCACTGAAAAAGAGAAAGACCTTCAGTGCAATGAATTAACCCTGTGGCTGTAACAATGGACTCAAACATAACAATTGTGAGGTTTGTGCAAGATTGGAAAGTTGTTTGTTCTTTTGTACATCGTGTTCCTATGAGCTGGAACTGATGCAATGGCTGCTGACAACAACACTAATGTCAAAGTATCTTGATTTGAAGTCTTTTACCCATTTCTAACTGAAATCTTGAGGGACTCTGCTTCCACTGTCGCTCTTATAAGTAGCAGCTGTTTTCCCTCCCACACTGTTACCTCTGGGCCTGTGGCTGGAACAGATCTCTTCTTGGTTTTTCATTGCCACTCCCCATGTGTTTGCCTTTCATCCTTCTTAAAAAGCCTCACTTTTGGAGTTCACTGCAACAGACTATACAGTTATTCTTCCTTGTACCTTTTATTTCTTAAAGATGACTCATTGTTGTCTGATAACACACCTTTCGTGATTCTGGATGATTTTAACATCTATGGATGATCCTAACAAGACGTGGTTCTCTACACTACATCCAATCTTTATTTTTTTAGTTTCCTCTTTTTTTTTTTTTTTTAACATTTTATTAGGGGCTCATACAACTGTTATCCCAATCCATACACACATCAATTGTGTAAAGCGCATTTGTACATCGTTTCTCAAAACATTTTCTCTCCATTTAAACCCCCGACATTTCCTCTTTTTCTTGGTGGTCTTTGGCCCCAAGTGTAGGCACATTAAAGTTTTTAATTGAAAAAAAAATAAAGTTTTTAATTGATAGTTACTTTTTATGGATGACTATGAGAAATATTTAGAAAAATTTTTAATTAAAAATCTGAAATGTCAGGTGATTTGTTAGAAGCAATGCATTATAAAAATCTTTTAAAAGCCTGTACTTGAAGTATTTAGAAGAAAGGCCTGGGAGCTTTAAATCCACGTAGTTACAAACATGCTTTTTCTTATTACCAGAAAAGGAGTTAAATCAACAACCAGAAATGTGAAGTTACAGTCAAAACGCTCCTTAGAGGCAAGGATGACATACTTTGGACATGTTATCAGGAGAGACCAGTAAAAGACATCATGCTTGGTAAAGTAGAGGGGCAGCAAAAAAGAGGTAGACCCTCAACAGGATTAATTGGGACAATGGATGCAACAATGGGCTCGAACATATGAAAAATTGTGAGGAGGACATAAGACTGGATGGTGTTTCATTCTGTTCTATAGAGGGTTGCTATGAGTCGGAACTGACTCAACAGAATCTAACACCAACATACAATAGTTATATCTTTTTTTGTTAGTCACATTGGAGTAAAAAGATAGTACTTTTGCATTTTGTCAAGAAATGTGTAATCCATGCAAAACTAAAGAATACAAAACTGGGAACCAATAGAGAGGTCTGAGGGGCCAGTCCCAATCCCAACTACGTGGACAGCCCCAATTCCCCACAGAGGAATTTACCTGAGGACAGCACTGAAGCTACAGCTCAGGGAGAGGGACATGTCTGATCAGAGTACATAGGAGCAAATGAAGGGGGAGGAAGAGAGAGTGGAGCACATCCTGGCCCACCAAGCTCTGAGGATGATATTCCTGCTCAGAGCAGTCAGTGCACAGAGAGGACCATAGGGTCGGCCCTACTATGAGACATGATGTCCCTCAATGACCCATAGCACTACAGGGGACAACACTGGAGATACAGTGCAGGAATTGTGCCAGATCTGACCCCACCCCACCATAAGGACGTGCAACAGAATGGCAAGGGAAACAGCAAGGAAGTCCCCAGGGAATACCAAAAATAGACTTTGGGGACAGGGAGTGGCACCCCATCAGACTTGACTGGAAAACACTCCTAAAGCTCATCTAACAGACCTTGAACAAGTTAAACGCTTTTCTTTTTTTGTCGTTGGTTTTTTATGTTGTTGTTTTGTTTTCTTTTGTTGCTTTGTTTTGCTTTCATTTTTTGTGCATATGATTATCTCTGCAGGGCTATCTAGATAAGACAGACGGGATAAACAATTTGGAGGAGAAAAAAATGGGACTGACAGTTCTGGGGGTACCTGGGCGAGGGGGAGGCAGGAGAAATGAAGTGGGTGTTAACAAACCCAGGGACAAGGGAACAACAAGTGATCTAAAATTGATGGCGAGGAGGGGGCAGGAGGCCTGGTAGGACTTGATCAAGGGCAATGTCACCAAGAGGAATCACTGAAACCCAAATGAAGGCTGAACATGATAGTAGGACAAGAGGAAAGTAAAAGGAAACAGAGGAAGGAACTAGGCGGCAAAGGGCATTTATAGCGGTCTAAATACAGGCATGTACATATGTAACTATATATATGAAGATGGGGAAATAGATCTATGTACATATATTTATAGGTTTAGTATTAAGGTAGCAGATGGACATTGGGCCTCCAATCAAGTACTCCCTCAATGCAAATACTCTTTGTTCTATTTACCTGGGTATTCCATGATGCTCACCTTCCCGACACAATCCCTGAAGACAAAGCAGGTAGATAAGCAAATGTGGTGAAGAAAGCTGATGGTGCCTGACTATCAAA